CCTACTTGCAGATACAACAGAACACCTTTCAAGTAAAGGAGGCGAAGTGGGAAAAGAGAATCATGGACCTTGAGGCCAAGTGTGCACAGCAGGCACCTACTGCAGTGGTAGACTGGACAGAGGTCCAGAGGTTTAAGATCAGGAAGCAGCCTGTAGAAGAGGCCTTCAAGTGTCAGAAGGTGGAAGAGAGGGCAAACGAACAGAAGGATGAGGAAATCCCCCTGCTAGATAAAGAGATGTTGCAGCCTCAGGACGCCCTAGCAAGGATGAAGTCAGGAACCGGGGGGTTTGAGTGGAGGATGCCCACAGTCTTGGCACATGAGGCGAGGCCACCAGCAAAGGATACGATGGATGAGGCTGCACTTTCCATGACTCAGGAGGAGACTGTGGGGAGACAGGAGGTTCAGGAGAGTGTGGGACAGGCCATGGCTGAGGCTGAGGAGAGGGAGGAGCGGGAGGTCTCTCAGAAGACCCCACCATCTCAGGATATGCCTCTAGTTGCAGGTCTGGAGGATGCACTGGGACCTTGGGCCACTGGATACGGGGCAGAGGAGCGAGTGAGTGAGCAGATGGCCCAAACAGATGACAGAGCAGCATGCCCCGTTCCCCCAGAGCACCGACAGCAGGAGGTCACCAGCGAGGCCACAACCGCCCCCTCATCTGTACCCTCCCATGCAACTGACAAGATGGAGCAGAAAAAGTTTGGAAGATGCTTCTACTGGAAGAGAGGCAAGCACCCACAGGAGACCTGTCCCAAAAGCCTCAAGGATGAGGCCGATGGTTTGTTTTCATGGGACCCATCTGGCGTACGCAGGGACAGAAATGAGAACCTGATCCTGAAGACTCGTGATGGGATACGAGCGAAGTTGTATAGGCAACTGCAGGAGGGCATGAGTGATCAGGAGTAGGATTTACGAATAGGGTCCGAAAAAGTCTAGATTCTAACATGTGTAGAACATCTCTGACTCACTACTTATGGATGACTGTATATAGGAGAACACATGGAGGATTGGATCACGCCCATGTACATTAGTTAATTGAGTCATTACAAAGATGTTTACTTTCGCATATAGACTTTCAGACTTAGCGTACATAGGAAAGTATTGAGTGTGACACTGACTACTTCGGTTTCCTTTCTCTTTTTTAGTGTGGTGTGGAGTGTTTCTAGGTAGTGCTTTTGTGTGAGTTTATGATTCTTTCTCTTTCAGAGCAGGGTGAGTCAGACAGTGTGTGAGTGATGTGAGGTGTGGATACTCTGGCTCTCTTTTACTTTTTGACTTTCTTGGATATTTTGACTTTTTTTTAGGTACCTTGATCTTCAGTTGGATACTGTGACACTTGGTACGATACCCCGGTACTTTGTATGATATTTGATTTCTTTTGTACGATATTTTGATCCTTTCGATATGGACTGGA